AGGATCCCTGAGATATCAATGGAACTATCTTATCACGAAGGATTCCAAAATGACCTCTGACCTCGTTAAAAACTGGCCGATATGCTGCATTGAAAAAGAACTCACCAGCTATAGATACATGAATTATTAAAAACATACTACAATCATTATACCTGATACTGGTGTGTTAGCAGTAGGTAATTGATTGCTGGTAACTGGTCTAACTACAGGTGTATTTAGTGCAATTTTACCTGTACAAAAATATATTATATCTTAAAATTACAAGTTTATATAGTATCATTTTTGGAGACATCAGCTACATGTACATGTACCATGACTACATGTACTTTAAAAGTGGATCGTTTTACAAAAAAATACCAAAAGGTTTAGGCTATGCACTGATTATAGCCTCCTGTGGCATTACACACACACACAGTCAATACTAATACAATCAGTGATATTAACTTACTCTCTTGATCTAATTTGTCAGCTGCAGCATTCTCATTCATAGATTTAAGAGCATCTGACAGTGAGTCAAAGGTAGCTCCTCCTTTACTGTCAACATTATCAGCTTTACGTAACCACTTGGAGAGAGTCTCTATCAAGCAGCGAGATACATCTTTAGAAAAAATTGCTTCCAAAACATCCAGTGTGTCCTTATGTAGTCCTAGTCTCAGTCCCAGCTCATGCCATCTTGTCTGAGGGAAACCACATCTCTTTAACAGATCAAGTACATCAATAAGTTGATCTATAAAACATAATATATAAATATATCACAGACTACAGTTAATTATTACCAATAGTCAAAGGAGAAGAGAAGAGACTCAGAGAAGAGGAACAAGAACTGGTTTTGGTTGCCATTGATCAAAGAACAAGCTAACCGGATGCAAACTTTGCAAAGGAATAACAAGGGAGGGGCTGGTTTTGGGCGGGGCTAGATCTAGTATTATTGTATTTTAACCCTCAATATGGTGGCATTGGAACAGACAGATCATGATGAATGGACTTTTCAGTTTTCATACTCAGGAAAGAGAGAAAGTTGACTATTGACAGCAAATACTAGGCTAGATCTAGTATTATTGTATTTTAACCCTCAATATGGTGGCATTGGAACATACAGATCATGATGAATGGACTTTTCAGTTGATGATGAAAATGATGGAGTTACTAATGACAGCAAAATAACAGATGAGGTAGTTTAAATGTACCTGTACATGTATACTAGTATATGAATTTTAGTCAAATTGCGATGTATGATATCATAGATATACTGCATGTATATACATGTATATATATATATATATATATGTATACTGTATGTATATATGTATGGGCGTATCTAGGAATTTGAGAAGGGGGTGCTAAAGGCATGTGAAGCGTGCTGCGATTTTGGCCACACCCACTTTTACGGCGGTAAAACGGCCTTTTCCTGCATTTTCGTCAATTACGGGTGGGACCAAGATCATTTCAAGCATACTCTAGAGCACACTGCTATGTTACTGGTACTTCTGATTGCTCCTTAAAGCACTGGAAACTGCTGAAATCATGATCAGGGGGCTAGATAACTTTGTTAAGAGGCTTGGTAGTGATGCAAGAATCCAGGACTTCAGTAATTTTTTCTGAGCCCAGCCCTGAGGGGGATGCTTAAGCCCCCTCAGCCCCCCTAAATACGCCTCTGTATGATATCATAGATGTACTACATGTATACATATATACATATATATATATATACCGTAGATTCGGAAATTTTTGTTGTTAAAATATTTTCGTGGTTGAAGTGACCCACGAAATTTTGACACTCAATTATATTGGAGCCTAGCAGCGCAACACTTCTATCGAATAGCAGTCCACCATTGTCAAGAGTTAGTAGCCACGTGTCCCGTTTATAACGCATCCAAAATTTTTCGTGTTAAAATTTTGTGAATGGGTCAACCAACGAAAATAAAACACCTTGAAAACATTTCACACCAATTATTTTTAACACAAAAATTTCCCGATCTACGGGTATTAGTTTCGCATAGCCAGACCCACCCTCCGTCTGGCTACTTGAGACTATGTATATCCTGTACCCATACCTGTAGTAGGGGCCCCATCAAAGTTTTCCCCACATACCCTATTGGCAGCCCTCCCTGTAACAAAAAACTATGGACTATAGTACATGCTTTTTCCCAGAAATGGCTTGAAATCATTCCAAATTTTTGTTGCATTTAAAAAGTTGAAGTTGATTCCGGCTAAAATTTTTGAGTCATGTCCATTTAAAGAAATGAACCAATTAATATTATTACATCTCATTGTTTTTATTGTATTTTAGGAGTTCAATGAGAGCTTTGCTGATAAACATTGAATTATGAAATGAACATCAAAAGTAAATATACATATGTACATGTACATGTAATCCTTTATCTCCATGTCTCTCACTATTTAGAGTGTTGATAGAAAATATGTGTTTCATTTACCCGACACATTCCCAGAGACTCAAAGTATCTTGAGGTACGTTATTCCACTCGTCATCCTGCCCCTCCCCCACCTCCTCTGGTCTCTCGTACAGCTGTGTGTTTGGTACCAATACAACAAGGTTAGGACACACTGTCAGTGTATGTACATGTACATGTTTGTCCTTTTATGTTTTGAATAAGTTTAGTAACTTTAAAAATTCATTAAAAAATTAATTTTGATCGGAATGAGCTCAAACTTCCACACAACATGAAAACTTGTGATATCAAAAATTATAAGAGTAAAGAATTCTCAGTGAATCATTTTTGATGAAATTGTTTCCATATTTTCATTACACTTTTTGATACAAATTGATTTATACTTACATGATAAGTACACGATACAGGCGCTGCTGCCTTCACTGGTGTAGCTTGAGTGCATAGCTGAGCTGATTCCAACTTTAATTTTTACGACCTGGGGGCGTAGCCCCCAGGTCGTCCTATAATTGATTTCACCCACGTGCAATATACATGTATATTTGATTGTATGTCAACACTTACATTTCTTCTATACACGTTGTATTGGAGAAATAACAAGCCTTAGCAACCACCCGCCCACGCTACACAAGTGGGTGTGGTCACGGCAAACAAAATGGCGGTTTGCACATGGAACAAAGTTATGAGCTTTCTTAACAGCAAAAGAACTTAGAGATACTATCTAAAGACTTTTCTAGAAGCAGTAGAAGGTAGAGAGAACCTTCATAAGTCTTAATAAGAACCCAGCTGTACATGCAACGTGGTGAAATCAATTATAGGAATATTTTTAGACTGTTATGCTTGTTTGAGTTACGGCCATTTTAATAAAATCTTAAAATTTTGAAAAATACCCAAGGCTATAGCCCATCGTTTTTTCCAAAAATTGGCTCCGAAATCAACCCAAATTTTTATTACATTTTCTGATACATATTGATGTCCTTGTGCTGTGTAGCAAGTTTGAGCTGATTCCGACATTCTGAAAAATACCCAAGGCTATGGCCCATCGTTTTTTCCAAAAAATGGCCAAAAAATCACTTGAAATTTTTATTACATTTTCTGATAAAGTCAGTTCAAGTTGAGTTGCCACAGGAAGTAAATTAATGTTTGCATCACAAAACGTCATTCCTAGCCACACCCAAAATGGTAGCAGAGTGCAAGCAAACTCTTTTATAGAGCGTTTTTTCACCTCTAAGACCTTTTATTGTCTGTTTTATCCTTACTTTGGATACTACTACCTTTATTTATCACTGATTGGACCTTTTCTTTGTCATAAAGCTCTTAAGGACCCCAGATATGGAAGATAGCAACATAGATTGAGGATGATGAAGATTAGCAGCGATCAAGAAGGCGCAGACAGA